CAAAACATTAAAGTCAGACTGACTACTGCTTGCCATGCTGATTACAAATAGATCTGTATTACCCCTCTCCCTTATAATCATACTCAGGTCACTTGGGATCAAATTCAAACTCATCTCCGGGGTGTGTGGAATCATTCTCTTACTATGAACATACAACAACTCCATGCCAAAATTATGGCCGTATCCAAGGCCCATTTAAATTCTATTTCACCCAGTGATGTTGCAGATGGTATAGTTAAATCTTTGTTTTCTACATTTACAACTTCCACTGATAATTTTTACACTTTAGCTTATTCTGTGGGGAGTGTTCTCTTATTAGTTTTTGTTATTCTCCCTTGCTTCCCGGTCCTCGCTAGACGTATTGGGGCCACAATTACATCAATTGAGGCAGAGATTCACTTCTACAAATTATAAAACAAAAAAGGGGGAGATGACGGGGCCATGCAGGTAACACAAGCTGGTAAGGATGCTGCCTCCCATTCTAAGGCAAGGCCTGGACTGGGAAGAAACTGAGGCAAGGCCCAGTTTACGAGCTCTCCCTTGTGTCCTTGAACTGGCCGGTATTCATTTTCTCTGCCGTGAGTTTTACTGTTATTACTGTACCGTGTAAGGGTAAAACATCACCCCCAACCATTGCAATAAAGCCAATTAGTGATCTTGTAGGAATGTGGTTCCCTAAGACTGACACGAGGATCAGGAAGTTTAAGACTCCCCCACCTGTCTGTTTTTAAGTCAAAATTAACATATAGATTAAGTTAGTATAAACCAAAGTAGTATCAGTAGCATATGAAAACTAAGTTAGTTTAAGGCTAGTTTTATGTAAATGCCCCTTGTTAAAGCTACAGGCCAAAGTTAACTCACACTAGCAAAGTCAGCACATTCACCACATAACAGAGACTCAGAGTTACAACAAAAGAACTCACTAATTGACAAGACTCAACAAACAAAATGCAGGAACCCACAGATTTATTAGAGGAAAAAGCCTGGATGGGACAACAGAATAAACAAAGCTGAGGGCTCCACAGAAAGATTAACCATTTTAGCTGGGAGTTCTTATCTAAAGCAACAGGTAGCTTTCAGCTACAAAGAGTTTCTCATCTATGTGCTGTTGACTATGAAAAACTGCTAATAAAACATCCTGTGTTGTCTCCGGAGCTACGAGATCATCTTCCTTTCCCATATAAGATCATAGACTCACCCTCTATTGTTGTAATGTATGGATAGTCCATATATTAACTGTGTCTTTACTTAGCAAGACAAGATTTCTATCTAGGTCTTTGCAACCAGCAACGTTATCGCCCTGGCCCGGGACTGAAGTTGTCAAACATCCTGCAAGCCCCCTCTTCAAAAGACTCTTCCCAGTAATCAAGATCTAAGGAGAAGATACAGCAGACAAATGGACTTCCTCATCCTGAGAACTGTGATTGACTTTACCTGAGCTAACAAGACAAACAGCATGTTTTATAATTATTGCTTCCATGCTTTGTACACCCTGTTCCTTAGAGTAAATCTTTTACTGCCCCTCACCCATTTACTTACATGTATCACATTTTCAATAAAAAGGCACGATGATTCCTAGCAGTTGTCACTCCTCAGAGAGCGATCTCTGGGAGTGTCCGGCTAAGGACGTGCATGAAAAGCATCGAGGCCTTAGTCTTCCTTTCCAGCGCCGCCTCCGTCGAGATAACCCACCCACGCCGAGGCTGGACCCCGACACTCACAGTGTTTTGGTTTTGAGAGGGAGAGTTTTGCGATAGGGTGCATGTGTTCGCCAGAGAGAGACAGAAAGTGAGAAATCACCCCCCACACCGTCCACCCCCAGGGGGATGGCCACAGCATCCCTTCTCCTCTGGGCATTTCGGACACGCACACAGAGGCGTCTGATCAGAATTTTAATCTGCTGGGTCGGGGACTCAAAGGACCCAAACCGCGGTGGAGTAGTGGGAGTCCAGCCACCCAACCTTTAGGCCATCTGCTGGTCCCAGCTGCTCTCAAAGTTCTAAGCATAGGACCCATGCCCACGTTAATGATTGGGGACAGGAAAGAGTATTATTCATATACGTTATATTTATCACTGCTGTGTTAGAAATTACAACAAAGTTACTAACTCATTTATTTTTAGGTTTTTGACATAGGGTCTGTGCTCTTGCTGGAAAGACAGAGACTGTGAGAGGGAAAATGGGAACTCCTGCCCACCCCACCCAACTCCATGGCCACTCTACAATCCCTTTTCAATTCTTCTGGGATTTGGGGCACACACACACATGCCCAGCGTGATTTTTAAGCCATCAGGTCCAGGACTCAAACTGCTATCAGTCATGTGGGAGTCCAGCACCTTAACAACCACACCACCTGCTGCCCAGTACTAATTCATTTAAAAATAACAGCAACAAACTCATTTCATGAATAAGAAACATTTTATGAAAAATAACTATTTTCCAAAATAAACTCTATGTGAAAAATTGCATCTCATTCCATTTTTGGAAATACCTTTCCTATTGGCTTAATAGAAAAAGCGGGAGGGCCAGCTGGTGGCACAGTGGTTAAGGTGCTGGATCCCATATGTCTGACTGGGCAGTTCAAGTCCCAGACCCAGCGGCTTGCTTCCTCACCCCACCCTGTCTCTCTCTGGTGAGTGCATGTCCCCTATAGCAAAAATAATAATAATTAAATTATTTTCTAATTTTATTTATTGCTAGTTTTTAATTTGACCAGAGAGTGAGGGAACATGAGAAAGCAAGCCACCAGGTCAGGGACTCGAACCACGGTCTACCATGTGGGAGTCCTGCACCTTAACCACCACACCACCTGCCAGCCCCAATAATTTAAACAACAAAAACTTGTTCTGTGAAAGACCTTGTTGAAGAGGATGAAAAGGCCCAGCTATGGGGGCACTGGTGGCCCAGCACTGTGTGACACTGAAGTCACATGAGGGGTCAGGTGAACACGAGCACACAGGCACACCTGGGAAGCTGGGGGACGATCCAGCACAGTGAGAACTCTGCGGGCAACATCCCCCACACACCCACGAGACAATGAACTTAGAAAAAGAGAATGAAAAGACAAGCTACAGGGACCAGCAGTTAGCGTAATGGCTAAGTCGCTGGACTCCCATGTAGTCGACTGCAGTTCGCGTCCCGGACCCAGTGGCTTAAAACTCACGCCGGGGGGTGTGTGTGCATGCCCAAGATCCCGAGAGGAGAATGGAGGAGAAGGGACTGCGGCGTGTACATCCCCCCTGGGGGGTGATTTCTTGCTTTCTGTCTCTCTGTCTCTCTCTGTCTGGCGAGCGCACACGCCCTGTAGAAAAAACCTCAAAAAAAAAAAAAAAAGACAAGCTACAGACTATGATAAAACATTTGCCAACCAGGGTTCATCAGGCAGCATAGTGGCTAAGGCCCTGGACTCCCACATAGCCGACTACAGTTCGAGTCCCGGACCCAGCCACGTGAATGTGTGCCCAACATCCAGGAGGAGAATGGAGAAGGGAT